AAAAAAAAAAAAAAAAAGTGGGTGGGCCACGATGAGGTTTATGTGATTAAATCTTCAGTACTTTGTATCTTGGGTTGCAGAGGTTTGAACTGAAATGCCAGATAGGAGCTCCCTGAAAGTGAGGAGTAGAAAATGTACAAGCTTTTATTCTTGTGTGTAAAATAATTTGAATGGAGGTCTTTGGAACAAATCTCTGAAAGGGATTGTATTTATAAAAATGCAGAACTTGTTAGGTTACTTCCTTAAAGAAGGTTTGTTTGGCTCAGTGGTGAGAGGAGCTAAGCTTTCATGCTGAGGGCCAAAAATTACTATAGCAATGATTAAATGAAATTGCTGTTCATGGACAGTGAATTTTAATACTGTTCTGACAGGTTGTTTAGAAGTAATTTGTATGAATGGTAGAAATTTGGTAATGGTGTACTTTTGATCCAGCTTGAATTGTATACATGCCATTTATCTTATGTTTGTAAGGAGGTGCTTGTTTAAAATAACCATTCAGGGCTGTTCTTTGATGGCTATCTATTTCTAGAAGCTAGGGATCTGGTATGCTGGAAATTAAGTTGGTGGGCGAGGTTTCCTTCCCAAAGGGAGCATGGCAAATGCGTTTAGTAATTACAAGGGTACAGAGCAGTTTTCCCCTAGGTCATCTCTATGACTCCTACTGAATTCAGTGTTTTCTGAAAGTCATTAACACTTCCAGTCGTATTTTGAAATATGATAGCATCAGTCTATTTCTCTTTGAGTATCTGTCCATATCACAAATGTTCGTAACATAGTTGGCATCCTTATTTTAAGCCTCTGTGAAGAAGTAAAGGATATGAATGAACAGTGATAGCACTAGACACTGGGGTAAATTTGAAGCCAGTGGGTAAACGATGTTACTTCTGCTACACTTTTGTCTGAAGTTTTTCTTGCACGGGACATAGGTTCTCCAGGGCTTTTGATCAGTCACCTTTCACAAGCATTAAATTTATTGTTTAAAAAATGAACGGGAGGAGGAATGCTGTGCTCTGCAGTAGTGTCATAATTGAAAGGTTTTCTGTCTTCACCCTGTGAATTAGTTTAAAACTGAAATAAGGCTTTTAGTTTCTTTCAGAACAGGGGATATGTAGAGTTTTAATGGAATGAAAATCAGACATTGTGATATAAGCATGCCTGCCCCTTATGAATGGTTGGTTTTCTTAACAGGATTGTGTAAAGAAGAATTTTTTTTAAATGTCTTGACACCAGCGCTGTAACTAGTTCTCCTGTGCTGTTCTGCTTCAAATTAGGTTAGTCTTTAAACTTGCCCTTTTGAGAGTATTTACTACACCAAACAGTAAATATTGACCTCACCATCATGTGCATTGTAAGCGTATGATATATCATTTTGTTACCTCTACCCTTTTTTAAATAATTAGCATGGTGCTTTGTGTCAAAATGATTCCTAGAAGCCACGTGGAAATAATAAATTAAAAATGCCATATCTTAATATTTTATTTCCTAGCTCAGTCACTTCTTAGCACGTCTTGGCCTGATCTCTTAAATTTTATTTTGAAGTCTTAATGTTGAGATGCTGAACAAGAACATAATAATCTATGTAATGAAAAAATGTATTGAGATCAAACATTGTGTGTGATTTGCCATTTCTATTAACAATTTGCTGGTCACATTTGAGTAGCCAAGAACTTCTCTCAGTAGCTGATAATAAAGTAAAAGGAGAAAAAAAACTTTCAAACTACAATCCTACATTTATTCTTGCACTTTACTGGGCCATACAATGGTAACTTACATCAGTTTCTATTTTTTTAAAACATAAATCATGCTCTTTCTTTTTAGGTTTTTAAAAATGGTTATTGTACTTGATTGAGATATATGAGCATAAAGAAAACACTTTTAGACAAGCTTTCAAATGCAAAGAATTCTTTAACTTTATCCCAACTATACAGTTGGTCCAATAAATGGTATCACTCCTCCACAAATCTTGGTTTTTTTATATCATGTATTCAGCATTCTACAGTCCTCAGGCATACTCAGGGCCCTGTTTTCAGGCCCTGATTTATGCAAGCAGTTCCATGGTATGTGCACACAGAGCAAGGAAATGCTGTGCAGAGAGATTTCATGTGCACATGAACTAATAAGCTCTCTTGGTAAGTCTCAGTAATGTCTCAGCTATGTTCCTTCTGGTTCTGGTTAATGTTCATACTAAAATAAAAATGAAGTAAAGTGAAGAAAAATAAGTTTCCATGGTGCTGCTTTAGACCATGTAACTGTACCCCTGATGGTTGTGGAGATATGCATTGAAGCTAGGGTAAAGGATTGAGCCCAATGATATTTTATCATTTACAAGTATAGAATATAGTGAAACCTGGAAATATGGTAACACCTGGAATCTGCCTGTATAAAAGTCAGTGACAGAACTCCCATTGACATCAGTGGGAGCCGGCTTTGACTCTTGAATGCCTTCTGAGAAATCACCTTGTGTATTTTTCTTGTCAAAGTACAGTGCAACCTCATTATAACAAACTCTAGTGGTGTTGGAGAAAAGTGCTTTAAAAATGGTGTTTGCCTAAATGTACTTAATTGGCTGCATCATCATAATGAGAAAGTCAGTTCCTACTATTGGTCTGGCTAAAAATGGGATTTGTTATAAATAAGGCTTGTTTTATAACAAGGTTGTACTGTATTTTAATGCAAACAAATGAATTTTCACCTATTTTTGTATATATTAAAACTAACTTTGTATTTCAAATATAAAAGCTTTCAGAACAATTGCAAATGCCTTGAATTTATTTAATGTCCCAGAATTGACAATTAGTTTTTTGGGACCTTTTTTTCCCCTATACTTAGCCAAAATAGCCTATAGTAGTGGTGCTCAAACTCGGGGGCCCATGAGCTGAATGCAGGCCATGGGGTTGTATCATTCAGCCTATGAGGCTCCTCATGCATCCATAAATTTGGTGGTGAGGGGAAGCAGTGGTAGATTTGATCGGCCTGTTTTTCCAGAGCCATGGCACTTAACACTGCCACCACTTCCCTGCTGCCAAATTTCCAGACCCACAAGGAGCCCTGTAGGCTGGAAAATGACTGCATGAAAATGTGCTGGCCTGCAGGATCAGAGACTTGAGCACCACAGGCCTACAATGTCATGGGCTAAACTTCAGTCAACAAAATAAATGAAATGTGTAACAGTGGGAGGAAGAGGAAGGGGGAGGAGTCTTGTCCAGCTACTTTTCATAATGGATATTTTTCAGTGGAAGTTACCCATAGGGGCAACAGCTATTCTGAGCAAAGATTGCAAGGTTAGGCCCTAATGGTGGTAACTGGTAACATGGCAAGACCTGAAGCATGCTGGAAAAGGTTGGTAAAATCTCTAGTTGGTTATCTCTCTGCTCACCTAGGTATTTCATTGGTTTCCATTACAGTAATATCTGAGCACGTAGTAAGGAAGCAGAGATGAGAATATTAATTTTGAATTACGCAGTCTGTTACTCTTTGTAGCGTTACCACATACTATTTGCCTCCCTTTCCCCCTTATATCCTCTTATTTTATTTTATTTTTTTGTATTATGTGAAATATTTTTGATTTCAAGCATTTCAGTGGATGGACTGTCATGTTCCATTTTTTAATGACACATCCAGGACACTGTGAATGTTTTAAAATATACAACTACTGATGTATTCTACTCCCATCTTATTTTCTGTTAAAATATGCATTACTTTCAGTAATACTTCTAAATGCTTCTTGAAAGCAATACAGTCTTTTTTTTTTTTTTT